ATATTGATTCATGTGCGCCGCAGGCTAAGATTGTAAAAGCTGAATTGAATTGCATAGTTCATATTCAATTTAATTAAAGTGAAATGCTGAATTCCTTTTGAATGTCTTCAGCATGCAACCTTGGCATACATAACTTGCGGCTCACTGCTGCTCACTTCATATCAAATAAGAGTAATCATAGTTAGTGAGTGGCCTGTAGGCTTAGCTTATAAATCTTATGTCTTTGCGTATTCATTTATTTATTCTATGTGTTTCTACAATATTTAAAGTTGCATTGATTAAAGAATTTTATCTCTTCAGCCTTTGCCTTCTCTGTATCTCTGCCTGCCTCCCCTGTCTATCTCACAGGCATCATTTCAGTTGCCTCCTATATATAGGCTGCAGTACTCAATTGGTATTTATACTTAAACGGAGTGTGCTCCCATTGGTCGAATGCAACGATGTCTACCTGGCACCCAGCTCAGCATTTGAGAGCGTCTTACGCTGTGAGTGAAAGGCGCCCTATATAAAGGGCAGCAGCTGCAGCATTTCTTCAGTCGCCCAGGCCGTGCAGTAAAGTGAAGTAAAGTGAATTGTGTGATCGCTTAACGGAATTACTTGGAGGAAATGCTTAGGGGGAAGACTTTCAGAAAAGAGAGAATAACCTTGGAAGAAATACATACTTTGAGGAAATACTAACAGGAAATACTTAGAGGAAACAGAAATGGAGGAAATACTTGGATGAAACAGATATATAGGAAATACTCAGATGACTTTAACGAAATACTTGCAGGAAATACTTGAAGGAAATACTTAGATGAAATACTTGCAGGAAATACTTAGAGGAAATACGTAGATGAATGATATGTAGGAAGGACTTAGAGAAGGACTCTTAAAAGAATATTTAGAGACATACTTCGAAAGGCTTTGAGCAAATACTTAAGAAATACCTAATAAAAATACTTAGCCGAAATACATATTTTCCACTACTACTACAATAACTGCTACTACTACTACTACTACCAATTTCTGCCTTTCAATAAACAAAGTAAACCAATATGCCCCTTTCACTTTGCAGAAAGATCATAAGAAGATTATAAGTTTATTTTTATTAAGTTAATTCCTATTCATTGCTGTGAATAAAAAGCGAATCGAACTGAAGAAACTCAAATCAAGAAATTTTCTGGGAACTCAAACGCGAATCAAGTCTGCTTCGTCAAGCAAGCCGAAACTCAAGCGGAGTCCACAGCCCACTCAATTGGCCAATTAACGAAGCCGGCCGCACAAAGGGCAGACAATGGAAATTTGAGTCGTGACCCTCTTGTGCCGACTCTTAAGTTCAAGCACATTGACGACGCGAATAGGGGCGAGATTAATCACATTTGGCAGGCTTACAATTATGGTAAGTGTAGGTGTCGTTCGACCAGAGACAAATGTGATCCTTACGCCTACAGGGAGAGGGAAAGAGAGAGAGGGAGAGAGGGAGAGAGACATTCATGTCTCATATGCTTTATACTTTAATTAATTTGTAATCCTTGACATTGAAGCCGAGGCAAATGCAATTAGAGGCAGCTGCTAAATGTTTGTTGCTCTGCCCAAAGGATTACAAGGATATCCATTTGTCCCTTTGCATTTATCATATGCACATATGCCACACACACACACACACATACAAAGAGTTTGAGGGAGAGTGAGGCGCCTATCAAATTCTAATTGAACATTTGAAATACCATCATCAAAGGTCTGACAAACTCTGGCAGAGGACGAACTTTGAGCTTAAGTGAATATCTAATCGAGTGCACGTCGAAGACTTTGAATTGTTCCGAAACTATACTTAACTGTAAATGTGGAATGCTGGGACATTCAATATGAGAACTTTGGCCTAAATGCTGAAATACAGATGTATAATTATTTAGAAGAAAATTAATTGTCGAATAGATCAAACGAAAATAGTTTACAAAAAAAATAAAATAAAAAAATATTAAGAAGAAAAATAATTACCACATAGATCAAACGAAAATAATTTTTTTTAAATTAATAAATAAAATAAAAAATAAATCAAAGTAACTAAATTAATAATACAAATTTAAATATAAATATTTTTTATATTTTGTACCATTTTTGAAAATTATTTTTTGCTGTATTTTTTCATTTAGCTAAAATCTAAAATTATTTCACGTATAATGTTTAAAATCTAAAATAAATTTAAATGTAAATAAAAACTGAATTTTAAATTTAAAAATAAATAAAAATGGAAAACTCAAACCAATTTGTTCTTTGGCAGAAGAAAAAGAAAATTCTTTTACTCTTACAGTACTAAGCGAGGGAAGTCACAAAGGTTTTATCGTAAATATATGTATGTATATATTTCATCGTTGGTTACTGGGATTTCATAGCAAATATTGACACTATAACTCGAGCCATGTGAAGAAAACCAATATGCTCATCTCATTTCGTGAATGAAGATAACAATTATATATAACAAATATATGTATAAATAATACAGATATAATATAATATTGCATATAGTTATACTCTAGCTGCATCAGCTCGTACTTTGCTTAAATTCAGGACCTATTCTAGAACTCTGAAGTGTCTACGTTATACCCGGAAATTTATTCCCTAATACATTGAGAATTTAGAGACATCTGCTTTACAGTAATAACATCTCAGTTGAGCTTAATGAATGCCCAAAGTCTCTAGAGCCTTTTACAACCAAATTCGCATTATTCGTAAGCAAATTCTTGGAAATTAATTTTGTAATCCTATAGCTTAATCCATCCCCTGCCACCTTCCATCACTTAAGTATCTCTCCATCTCTCTCTCTCTCTCTCTCTCTCTCTCTTTCTCTCTCACTCTCCCCCCCTTGCTCTCTGTTAGCTAATATAATTTCCGCTCCACTGACTGCTATTATATGTCCATATAATTTATTTATAGCGCTTGGCAATGTCCAAAAACTAAAAGCTCTGGGCAATATTTATAATTCGGCCACGCCCACAACGTTAACGCAGGCGGCGCTGCTGTTGTCATTTGCTTTGATTTGTGTTTTTCAAATAAGCAACAAAAAGCAATTTGTCTGCCACAGAAGCAAATGTTGCTGCCGCAACTGCCATCCGCTCGTGCGTCCGTCCGTTTGTCCTCCCGCTCGTCCGTTCGCTTCTCAGGCCGCTCGAGCACTTTGCTCACAAATTGTGTTAATTTGCATATTCGAAACTTTTGCCTAATTGAACATAATGCCACTTAATTAAACTTAAGCAACTTTTGCCAAAAGCAGGTGGCCGAGAGGGTGGCGGGGGCGCAGCCGGTGGGCGTGTCACGTGTAGATGTTTGGCTTGAAGCCCCCAAATATCTTGGCAAACTATGAGAAGCATGTAAAACCGAGACCCAAAACATTTATGGCGCACTTCAATTGCGGCTGCTCTTGTTGCTGCCATTTTGTGGTTGCAATTAGTTCAGATTATGACGAGGCTAATGTGAACCCACACACACACACACACGCGCATATACATGTGCATATGTTTGAACTCATAAAACAGTTTTGTGCCTGAATTATTTAATTGTTACTCAGCCTCAAATGCTGCAAATGTTTCTTGCCATTAAAACAATATCAATTAAATATAATCAATTTAATTCACATTTAATGAAGATTAGAGAGTTTGCGCTGAATCTCAGCTGCAGAAGAAAAGAAGCGAAAATTAATCTGCTGGAAGAAGGAACTATATATGAACTGAACTAGCTCGAAGCGGAATCAAAATTAAACAGATCTCGTAGTTGAGCAATCTAGATCACTCTAACTTAGAATATAATACTAATACTAATAATAATAATGATAATAATAATAATAATAATAATAATAATAATAATAATAAT